CACCACCAACTCCCTGCTATCATCCTTACAATATGCTTCTCAGATTCAGCTGGTCTTTATGCCTTTTTAACAAGCCAAGGTCAGTGTTATCGCCCAAAGTTGAGATGGCCATCTTTTCTTTATGTAGCTGATATATAAAAATATCCCGTCCTCGGGCCAGAGGCATGGAGTACATTCCTGGTTCCACACAGCTGAGGTGTTCCTCTCCAGCTAGCTCAGTGGGATATTAAATAGGAATTCAGAAGGGAAAAATAAAATCTTCTGAGGTCAAATACATTTTGCAAACAAACTTCTGTTAGACAAAGTCAGACAGGTTTTCTTTCCTGCAGGACTTGTCAGAGCCTGTCATATGCTAATGTGTGCTGTGCATGGGGGCGATCAGGGAGGAGTGCTGACCAGTACAGTTAAGCACAGGACATCTCTTTGCCAAGGACTAGCTCTGGGGTCTAGTGTCCCTAGGAAGAAGTGTCACCAGCGCCAACAGGTGCCTGCCCAACCCCCTGGGCCTTTCTGAGCAGCGAGCATGTGGTAGGCCCACAGCACGTATGTGGCCGTGGATTGGAGCTCCGGAGAAAGAGTGAAGTCCAGCTGTGTGCTTGACGGGGTCAATGCCCAGGGCAGGGCTGAAGCTCAGAGTACAGACTTCATCACCTGCTTACCCGACGGATGGGGCCTTGCGTCAGAATTCCCTTCCAGAGAATTCAGGAGACATCCCTGGACCCAAGAACTGAGTCATAAACAGCGGGTGCTATGTGACTTGGAGCAGGGTTGCCCACTCAGCGACCCCCTCCGAGACCTGAGAGACCCACTTGTCTGTCCTCCCCCAGAGGAAAGGTGTGTGTGAGCTCAGCAACCAACTGCCCTCCCCACCCTGAACCTGACTGCGTGGTTTAAAATAACCTTTGTCATCTACTTACAAATGTAATAACTGCTCAAGACAAGGAACGTAGGAAATGAGCAATGTGACAAAAAAGAAAGTCCATTTATCATCCCGTCCCTTCTGACCTAGGACAACCACACTGGTAGCCAGACACATTTTCTGCTGGTTATTTGGGTATGGCTATGTGTATTTTATTTTATTTTATTTTATTTTATTTATTTTTTTAAAAATTTTTTAAATTTATTTATGATAGTCACACAGAGAGACAGAGAGGCAGAGACACAGGCAGAGGGAGAAGCAGGCTCCATGCACCAGGAGCCCGACGTGGGATTCGATCCCGGGTCTCCAGGATCGCGCCCTGGGCCAAAGGCAGGCGCCAAACCGCTGTGCCACCCAGGGATCCCACTATGTGTATTTTAAATGTAACCAGAAGATGCATATATTAGTCGGCCTGGGCTGCCGTAGCCGAATACCACACACTGGCTGGTTTAAACACTGGACATTTTATTTTCGGATAGTTCTGAAGGCTGGAAGTCCCTGATCGGGGGCTGGCAGGGGCTGGCTGCCTGGCTTGCAGACGTGTCCTCACATGGTGGGGAGACAGCTCTGGCATCCCTCTTCTTCTAAGGGCACTGTCCCTAGCGGGTCAGGGCCCCACCCTTATGACCTCATTTAGCCTTAATTACTCCCAAGAGGCCCCATCTCCATAGAGCATCACCCTGAAGGTTAGAGCTTCAACACATGGATCTGGGGGGGACACCACCAACCTCTAACACAACTTACAACTGGGGAACCTCCTTTCTGGCAAACCCATATTCTCTCCCACGTTGGCTTGGGCGCTGCTGGAGTTGAATAGCTCTGAGTTCCAGTCTCCGCCGTATTTCTGGGCCCCTGCAACTCTGAGCAAGATGCTTACCCTCTCTGAGCCGCCCTTTCCTGGTCTGTAAAATGAAGGCGACAGGGGTACCAACTCTCAAGGTCATTAAGGTATTGCGTGAGATGCGCACTGGCAGGCAGGAAGCTCTCAGCAAGTAGGGACTTTTCATTTGTATTAGGAACATCCCCCACGGTTCGAGATAGCCTTTAACAACATGTTTGATCTGTTCTAATACTGTATTAAGAATATATTAATGGTAAATATGATAACATTTCAGAACACTATAATATTTCAAGGCATTGATACACCTCCACATCCTTAACCGGTACACAGGATCGTCTGAGGGCAGTGAGAAGCTGCAAGAAGAAAGGCAGCCCTGGCCGTTCCGACAGACCACAGGTTAACTAGGGGCTGCACGGCTGGGGGGGAACCGGGACAGACCAGGCAGGGAGTCCTGGCTCTGGAGGGTGACCCCACACAGAGCTCTGGGCAGATGGAAGCAAAAGGGGACATAAGGGGAGGCAGCAAGGGCCAAGACAAAGGGTGCGGCAGGCCTGGTGTGCAAAGATGGGGGACACAACGGTTACATATCCATCGTGTGGATGAATGAAGGCCGAGGGGAGACACCCCCCGGAGGCCTCAAAGCAGACGGTGCAGAGTGAAAAGCAGTCCCCCTGGAAGGTGAGGGATGAAGAGAAGGGAATTGTGAGCCAGAGAAGGAAACAGTCTGGGATGAGGGGAAGGCCACCCATGCCAGGCCTCACTGCTGGGCCTCCGTGCCTCCACCTGAGCCCAGGCCTCTCTTCTCTCCTGCCGGCCAACACCCAGCTGACCTCTCTGCCCTGCTCTGGCGCCCTAGACAGGGCATTCTCCATGGAGCCATCACAGTGATTTTAACTTTGCACTAGGGTGGATGGCCTCCAACCTCCCAGTGGCCTCTGTGTCCTGGGCTGGCCTCCTCCCACCTGCTGGGCTCCTTTCAGACCTCATGGCTGGGGTTCTTCTCAGGCCTAAGGTCTTCCTTCTGTTGTTGCACTTTCCAGAAGGTTCTCTCCTCCTTGTCTGGCAAACTCTTGATCCTTCAGGGGAGGGTCTGTTCTTCCTGGAAGCCTATCCTGCTCCCCCTAGGCTAAGTTAGGACCCCCCACCACCACCATGATACCCTCTCCTCGGTATGATGCTTGGGCACCTATAACAATTGCCATTAATTAAGGATTTGCTCAATTCAATGACTTTTGTCAAATTAATAGACTTCATATTCTGAAGCAGTTTGAGGCTTACGGAAAATCAAACCCATGGTAGAGAGAGTTCCCAATAGCCCCCGTCACCCTGGACACAGCTCCCCCTGTCACTACTGTTTGCACTAACGTGGTACATTTGTTACAGATGATGAGCAGTGATGTGTTATTATGAACCAGAGCCCACTGTTTACATCAGGGGTCATGTCAGGGTTGTCAGCTCAGTGGGTTTGGACAAATGCACAGTGTCCTGCATCCACCAAGAGAGTGTCACACAGAATCGCTTCACTGGCCTGAAGTACCCCCATGCTCCACCTGTTCCTCTATTCCTCTCTCATCCCCTACCCCAGCCACTGGTTTCAATCATTGCCCTTCTAGACTGTATACTCCAGAGCAGGGGCCCCACCTGATTTGTTGACCATTCCACTCTGTGTTCCCCAGCCCAGAGCCTGGCACATAACAGGTACCCTCTCTATTTTTTGCATTTTTTAAATAAAAACAGGATTCTACTCAACACCTTATTCCACAAGTTGCTTTTTACAAATAATGACAATATACCTTGTATCAGAACCTAGAGAATACCGGCTTTTTTTTTTATTATGTGGGGTTTCCAACATGCAGATGCAAATATAGGACCTCCATATATACCTGTCCCCCGACTTGGCCAGCTATCAACTCGTGGTCTCTCTGCTTTCATCCCCATCTCCGGCCACCGTCTTCCTTTCCGTGTTATCCTGAAGCAAATCCCAGACACCAGATCATTTCATCTGTAAATGCCTCAGTGTGTATCTTGAAAAGAGCAGGGCTTTAAAAAACATAACCACACTGCCATCCCCGCACCTAATCAGCATTAATCTAAGATCATCAAATACGGTCTCCAGATTTCCAATTGCTTTGTGAACATTTGTCTATTTGAGTTTAGAGGTTGCAGTCAGCGGATGCCTTTGAGGCTTCTTTTGATCTGGTGCTCCCTCACTGGTTTTGGCCTCCTGCACTCCAGCTGGTCAAGAAGCTGGCTCGTCACTCCTGGAGTCCCCTCTGCCTGAATTTGGCCAACTGCGTCCTGCTGCTGTTGCTCTGTTCGTTCCTCTGCCTTCCATGTTTCCTGTGAATCCGTAGATGGAAGCCGAGGCTCCCTCAGGTTCAGGTTCAGGTTCAGGGTGTTTTGGTGCAATGGCTTCAGGGTGCCATGTGTCCTCGCGTTGGGAAGCTCTGTCTGGTCGGCTGTCGCCGTGAGATGGCAGGCTGCTGATGCTCAGAGCATAGAGCTGTTCACGAAGGCAGGGGTGGGGGGTGGCAGGGCTGCTACATGGCGACCTTCTAATCCTACCTTCCCTCTTTGGTAATTAGCTGGATGCTTCTATAAAAAGAAACATCCCCTCATCCATAGTTGGTTACCCAGAGGTACAGTTTACACAGGACATGCTTGATTCTCTCCCTTTATTTACCGGATTTCAGAATAATGAGCGGCCTATAAATATTTGAATGAATGAATGAATAATACATGTGTGGATGAACCAACAGGGGTTTGGGAGTTAGGGTTCTCTCCATCTGCCCTGGAGGGTGTGGGTGTGGGCGGAGGCACAGCCCTGGGCGGGGGCCAGGCCCACACAGGGAGGGCTCGTGAGCAGCTCTTGCTACCTGCCAGCCTGCCTCAGTCAGGAGCAGAGGGGATTAGGACTCAGCGTCTGGGTCAAGGTCACCAGTACCCCTGCCCTGGGAGGTGGGAAAGCCCTGGCAGCAGCATCAGGGCAGGGGGTGGAGACCCATGGTAGGGGATCCAGGGGCAGCTTTATCTCTGGAAAGGTCTGAAATGGTGCTGCTCTCTGAAGAGGCAGGGCGATCGGGGCATCTTTGTCCTGAGAGTTCCAGCAGGTGGGCGTGGTGGTGGCCTCCAGGGTCACCCTCCCAGCGCCCTCCCAGCTGGGTTCTCCCTCCCCCAGGGCGGCGCCCACCTGCCCCAGGTTCACTGACCTCTCTGGCCCTCTGTGTCCTCCCCCCCCAGGTGCAAGTGCAACCTGCATGCTAACCTGTGCTCTGTGCGGGAGGGCAGCCTGCAGTGTGAGTGTGAGCACAACACCACAGGCCCCGACTGCGGCAGGTGCAAGAGGAACTTCCGCACGCGGTCCTGGCGCGCCGGCTCCTACCTGCCGCTGCCCCACGGCTCTCCCAATGCCTGTACGTACCGCCAGGGTGCCCCTGCCCCTCCGCCCCGGCCCACGAGGCTGCGGTCTCCCCCACTCTTCGACCCTGGGAGCTGTGGGTCACACACCCATGCCCACCTACCTCCTGTGACACCTAAGCCGCCCTTCCTGCCCCAGGGAACCCCGAGATGAGCTGCTCGGCATTTTTCCCACTGTCCTTCTGCTTTTTGACCCTGTGGGCTGGAGAGAAGGCACCCCTGGGCATCAGGAGGGGGTGGCGGAGACCCCTCACTGCAGGCTGTGGTTAGCAGCCCTGTCCCTCATAACCAGCCTTTTCAGGACATTTACAACCTGCCACGCAGGTACCACCTGCTGCGGCATCCCTGCCCCCTTGACCCTCAGAGTAGCCCCCAGAAGTGGGTCTCTTTCATCCCATCTTACAGAGGGGTCCTCTGAGGCCCTGGGCAGAGATCCCCCCACCCTCCGGGCCTCCTTCCTCTCCATGGTCTTCTCCTCCCACTCAGCCTTCCCGAGCCAGGGGAGTGCTCCTTGGGGTGCACCCACATGGGTCTGCATCGTGAACACCACTTTGAGGGGCCCCACTCATCATCAGAGATCCTCGGCATAGTCCATGGATGTTTTCTTGAAATCACAGATCCCAGGGAGCCCCCAAGCTGCAGTGGGGAGTGGGGCGCTGGGGCTGGTCCCTAGGGTGGACTCTCCCTGACCAGCCCCCTGGTGACCTCACTGATGTCTGACATTTGTCAGGCTCTTTGGCAGAGGCTGCACTAGGCACTTGGTGCACAGCTTCTCCCTCAGCACTTACCACTGCCCTGTGGGTGTAATTATTATTCCCCCGTTCTCCAGATGAGCAAACTGAGGCCCAGCAGCCCTGGTCCAGCAGCGGGCAGTGTGCCAGCACTGGGCCCGATTCCAAAGCCAGAGCCGGGCAGCAGCCCCCCTGCCCCGGGACCACCCACCTGCTGGGCACCCCACAGGAGCTGCTCCATTGGCACCCTCCATCCACCAACCTGAAAGATTTATGTGACTTTAGGCTGATCAAAGCTGAAAGCCTCACAGCGAGGCCATGACAGGCATGTCGTGCCTGTGCTGGGCGACAGGCCTTTGAAGGGGTGACTTGCCAGGCGCTCACAGCACTCTGGGCCTTCAAAGGCACCCAGAGCCCCGGGCGCTGACAGCCACCCCTCCCGGCTCCCTCCTCGACTGGCCAACCCATCTCTTTGTTGGAGCCACTGCTCCAGCCCTTTCTTTAGTGGCTGTCACCTCCCTCTGACTGGCAGCCTGCCTCCCGTCCTGCGGCCTCCTCCTCCCTGTCCACCCCACCTCCCGAAGGATCTGCCTGAGGTCTCCTGACTCACACCCCTGCTCAGACGCGCAGGCTGCACGCTGCGGTGCCCACCCCGTGTCCAGCCCGCCGGGGGCAGATGCGCCTACGCACACACAGCCCACCTTGGCCCCTGAACCCCCTCCCCTCCGTCCTGCGGGGCCAGGCGAAGCCCCTCTGTCTGGGGGAGCTCCTGGAGCCGGTCCCTGCTTCCCCAGAGTGCCCCCCACCTGCGAAGGAGGGCTTTCTCTGGAATGCCTGAGAGGAGAGCGGAGGTTGGAGGTGCTCCATGTCCTCAGCCTCACGCTTTCTCATCCGGGACCCCCACCTTCTCTAGGACAGCAGGAGAAAACAGCCCCCAAGACACAGATGGAAACAAGTCCCAGGTTAATTTTGCCCCTACCCCGTGTCCCCATCTCTGGAAATGGCACCAGCACCGGGCGCCAGGCTGCAAGTGTGGGGGTCACTATGGATGCTAACCCTTGCCCACCACTGCCACCTCTCAGTCTCTGCATCCCTCCTCGCTGTGGCAAGAGCGTCCCCCTCGTCAGGGCCCCACCAGTACATCCTCCCTATCCGTCCTCCCCGTCCTCTCCATTGTCTCTGTCCTCCCAGTCTTCCTCATCCTCCCCGTCCTCTCAATCTTCCCCATCCTCCCAGTCCTCTGCATCCTCCCTGTCCTCCTCCTCTTCCTCCTCCCATACTCCCCATCCTCTCCGTCCTCTCTGTCCTCCTCGTCCTCCCAGTCCTCTTTGTCCTCCCCATGCTCCCTGTCCTCCCCGTGCTCTCTGCCCTCCCAGTCTTCCTTTTCCTCCCTATCCTCTCAATCTTCCTCATCCTCCCAGTCCTCCCCGTCCTTCTCCTCCTCCTCCACCCATGCTCCCCATCCTCTCTGTCCTCCTTGTCCTCCCCGTCCTCTCAGTCCTCCTTGTCTTCCCCATGCTCTCTGTCCTCCCCGTGCTCTCTGCCCTCCCCGCCCTCTCCATCCTCTCTGTCCTCCCCATCTTCCTTGTCCTCCTCGTCCTCTCAATCTTCCCCATCCTCCCAGTCCTCTCTGTCCTCCTCCTTCTCCACCCATGCTCCCCATCCTCTTCCTCATTCTCCCCATCCTCGCAGTCCTCCTTGTCCTCCCCATGTTCTCTGACCTACCCGTCCTCAGTCCTCCTTATCCTCCCCATGCTCCCTGTCCTCCCCGTCCTCTCAGTCCTCCCTGTCCTCTCCGTCCTCCTCATCCTCCCTGTCCTCACTGTCCTCTCAGTCCTCCTCATCCTCTCCATGCTCTCTCTCCTCCCCATGCTCCCTCTCCTCCCCATCCTCTCAGTCCTCCCTGTCCTCTCCATCCTCTCCGTCCTCCTAGTCCTCCCCATCCTCCCCTTCCTCCTCCTCCTCCCCATCCCCCCCATCCTCCCCACGGCTGCAGGCAAAGGGCCCTCCTCACTTGGGTGTCCTCAGAATCAAACCCTAACCCGGTCCAGCCCCCATGCCCTACACAAGGTCCCGTGAGATCACTCTCCTGGGCCTCCCTGACTGTCCCCTGGGCTCACCCCGGGAGGTCTGTGTGCCACGCAGCCTGCTGTCCACACCACAGCCTCCCCCCCAGCCCTGGAGGGCCTCCCAAGTCACGGAGGGGGTCTTCACCCTCTGGTCTTCTTGGGAAAGCCTGGCACCAGTTCCTTTCTCTTGGGACTGATGTTCTTACCCTGGTCTCTCAAGAATCCCTGGTCAACCCCTGACCTTAGGCCTCCGTTGGCCCCCAGAGCTTGGACACACACATACAGAAAGGCCACTGCCCCTCAGAGCTGTGTGGCCTTGGACAGGTCATTTTACCCGGAGCCCTGTTTCCCCAATCCGTAGAATCAGGACCCTAGCGACCCCCTGTGGGGTTTTGCAAGGACTGAATTGCCCACGCGGAGCCCATGCTGAGTACGTGCCTGGCACACGGCGTGCTCACATGCCGCAGCTGCTACGATTCTGTTTCTGTGAGTCCCTGGGCATTCTCTACCTCTCCCCAGATGGGAACCCACACTGTGCTTTCCCTCTAGTGACAAATTCCATCAGCGCCTCCAGGAAGCCTATCTGCCCCCGTGCTGGTGCCCCTCACATTCTCTGACATCCCAGTGGGCCCCCCCAAAAGATCTCCCGCCTCCTTGGCCTGTGTGGGAGGGTCTGAGTGTCTAACATCGAAGACAATGGTGCATGCGAAGCCCCCAGGGGAGTGTTTGACACTTACCCGCAGGTCCCCCAGGCTAAGTCATGGCTCTGAGACTCAGTTTCTCCATCTGCCAGATGAGCTAAGTAAGGCAGCCCATCCCTCTCAGGGTGGCTGTGGGGATGAAATGGGATAAACGGGGCCAGCCCTACATGTGGCCTCTAGGTCTCCATCCCCAGCCCTGCCACCCCCTGCCCCCTGCAGGGGAGGCCCTGTGACCCTCCTTCTCTCCCCCAGGTGCTGCTGCAGGCTCAGCTGTTGGCAGTAAGTATGCTCCAGATCCCCTGCCCTGGGGAAGGCCCCCGGTGCACGAGCCTCTTGACGACTCCCATCGCACCCCATTCACTCCGTCGCCTGTCCCTGCTCCCTCCTGTCCCCTGGGCTGTGGCCTGCAGCCAGCATCTCCCACACTTCTCCCCTTGAGCTTCCTGGTCAGTGCTGCTTTGGAAAGGGCCCCACAACCTCTGGGTGAACTCCCCATGCCACCCTCTCCTCTCGGGCAAGAACGGGGATCCCTTCTTCCTGGCCAGAGGCAGAAGGCCCCCCCCAGCCTGACTTTGGGGTTTGCCTGCCTTGGGGCAGCTTGCAGGTAAGCCGGGATCCTGCCACCTGCAGGCCAGCTCAGAGGGGGCAGACCATGGGACGGAGTGGGGGGTGGGGGGCTCCAGGGAGGGTTGGGCTGGGGTGCCTGCAGGCTGACAAGTGGTCAGCAAGCTGCTGGCCCTCCAGCGCTCACAGCGCCAGGCACTGGCTAGTGGGGTACTTCTGGTACCCCACTTCCTCCTGGCATCCTCCCGCCGGGTGGGATCTGCCACCAGCTTTTAGAGTCAGCAGGAGAGGACTTGCCAGTGTCAGAGGGCCAGCCGGTGGCCCACCTCATATTTCAGAAATGCTTGAGGGAGGGCCACGGCCCACCCTGGGCTGCTCCCTGCTGGGACCCCTGGAGGGGCAGAGAGGGTCCCAGAGGAAGCTGGATCCTGGAGGGGATGCTGGCCCACTTAGTGAGGCCAGAAGTCATTTCTCTGCATTTCCCCCACACCTGCCAACTCCCCACCCTCTTGCTTTTCTCATCTCTTGCCAGGCATCAGCGGGCCCCAGAAAGACCCCATCCCCAAAGCCCCTGTGGCCACTGTGGCCATGAGAGGGGACCCCAGCACTCCTGCCCCCTCCACATCCACTGGGCAAGCCCCCATGGCCCCCAGCACCCCGCAGCCCACAGGTGGGTGCCCAGGTACAGCCCAGCTGCCCTGCTCTTCCCTACTTCCCACCAAGTCCCCGCCTCTGTTTGTGATGTGTGCTGCTGTAGAGGCATCAGCCCTGGGGCTTGGCTCTTAGAGTAGAGAACATTAGACCCTCGAGCCACGAGAATGTGGGGCTGAGGGGCCTCTAGGCTGTCCGGGCCCACCTGCCAGGAGATCTGGGGCTCACTTCAAGCCCCTGGATGCTTATTCCTCCCAAATCACCACTCAGGAGGGTCCCAAGACTGACATGGCCGAGAAGACAGGGTGACTGAGGAAGAGGGTAGTGCTGAGAGGCATCAAGACCACGCAAGGTTCACCCAAAGCCTGTCTCCCAGGGGAGCTCCTCCCTCAGTGCTCCACGAAGCTGGCCCACCACCCCACCCCCTGCTCTGCCTCCAGCACCCAAGCAGCCGACCCGTAGGAATGGTCAGCACAGAGTTAGCCAGGAAGGCGAGCTTCTCTAATCAGCAAGGCAGAAGGACACCTCCGGGCCAGGCTGTGTAGACTAGGGACTACCAAGCATGTGAGGCAGGGCCAGGCCAGGGCCAGCATCCTGTCCCACATCAGCCACAGCAGCCCTTGGAGACACCTGCTGTCTGGTTTTAATTACCCTCCAAAGCTGGATTGGTGCGTATTCAAGGCCTGGGGTGTGGCCCTCTGGGTTTACCTGTCCCTGCCCGCTGCAAATGCCAGGAGTCTGAAAGGACGCATGCTTCCCAGAGAGTGTCAGGAGGCTGTGTCTAAGGGAATCCCTCCCAGCCCCAGCGAGGAAGGGGTGCCCCTGCAGTGTGTCCCAGCAGAGAGGAGATGGCAGGGGCTCCTCACTCCTGGGCAGTGCCATGACCCTTCCTATCTGCACACGGACATGTGGAGGGGCGGACAACATCTCTAATGGGCAGGAACTCCCCCCACCTTCAGCTGGGGAAGGGATCCACACTCAGCCTCTCCCCCACTGGGACTCAGCCCTCTCCACGCTGGGTGAGTGCTGTGGAAAAGTTGGCCTCATTCCTGGGCCATCTTGCTGAACCCCCCATAGGACCCGGAGGGTGACACAATCCAGCTCTTTGGATTTCTGCCCTCCACCCTTCTCCATGAGAGGCATTTACAGGAGGCAGGGTCTAGTCAGGAGACTCAGGGATTTCAGGGGAGCCTCCTGGCCCAGGGATCCTCTTTGGGGTGAAAGACGTAAGCTGGCCCAGCCACCTGATCCTTGGCCAGTGCTTGTTTGTGCTAAGCCTGTGATGGGCAGAAAGGAGCCAAACTCTGCTATAGCAGGTGCCATGTCTGCGTGCAAACAGTGGCCTGTCTGGGTGCGAGACCAAATGCTGTATCACCACACACACACACACACACACACACACACACACACACACACAAACTCACACACACTGAGAAACCCTGAATCCATTTTCTTAGCTGCTTCTGATTTGGTGCAAGTGGTATAGGCAGCCTCACAGCTGGAAGCTAAGGAGAGAGTCCAGGGCCAGGGCAGTGAGTCAGAGCGAGGTGGGCTTGAATCGCGAGGGTCCCCAAGACCCAAGTGGCGCGAAAGGGCACTGCTCAAGCATTCAGTGGGTTGTAGTCAGCTTTGCATGCCAAGCCCAGTGCCAGGCAGCAGGATGCTCAGGGGAGAAGGTGGCTCCAGCACGACAGCCAATGGCCCGAGCAGCCCATGTCTCCGGGGCCGTTGCTCCTCTTAGTAACTAAAGCCTGTGCCCTGGGCCCCATGTACCCGGACCCCCACTAATAATGACAATCACTCCAGGTGTCAGAGCGTGGACCTCTCTTGGGCTCACAGCTCTCAGATAGGCAGTTCCTGGCCCCACAGGTGAGGATGCTAAGGCTTAGGAAGAAGCAGCTGGATTTCACAGTGTGTAAATTATACTTCAATAAAGCTGTTTAAAAAGAAAGAGGCAACTGCTGGAGGTAATAGGATTACAAAGGCGTCCACACAGGTTTCGAACTCAGGGCTCATTGACTCCAGAGGCGAGGTGCCCCCTTGGCCACCCAGTGCTGCCACCCCGCAGCCTCAGAGGCCGTGAGCTGGTGCCTGTCTTTAAAACTCGGCTGGTATAGCTCCCCGATTCCAAAGGAACAGACGGGGCCTCCATCTGGCCTTGGCACACAACAGAGGCCGTTGCGAGACTGTTCCTCCTGCACACCTGAGCGTGCCCCGGAGAGCCCAGCCAGAGGTCTCTCTTGCCCCCAGATAGGTCCCAAGTCCCCCCTTTGCCTCCCAACAGGTGCTCCAGGCTCTTTGGCCAGAGTCCAGCTGGGCCTGTGAACCTCTGGCCCAGATGTTTCTCTCTCCTGCCAATGTCAAGCTGTCTGGAGGGCAGGGGCTGCCGGGCAGGAAAAGCTGCTCAAGACCACTAATCCTCCCCCACAGAGGGTGGTGGGAGAAAAGGCTCCAAAGCAAAAAGCCTTCGGGGCGGGTTTTATCGCGGCTCTAATTAAGCCCTTGCCAATTTGGGCCGTGTAGCCTGCTCTCCTCATTGAGCACCATATTAATGTCAATTTGATGTCCAAAGGCTCCCAGCTCTCAGCTGGAAAGTCTCCTGCATTTTTTAGCTGGTAGGTTTTCTTTTTCTCCCCACCAACCAGCATTGTGCGTAATCCCTTTAAGAAGCGGAAAGAATCTGATTTCTCCCCTGTCCCTCTGGGTTTGTCCTTTGAAATTCAGCGCAGAGCCATGCCTCGCCTTCGCCAGCCCAGCCTGCTTCCCCAGCTTTGTGCCCAGTGAGACTAGGAGATAGGCACCCGGGGTTGACTCACACTGGGGTCCCGGGTGAGAACGGGTCCTGGCCGTGGGTTGGTGGAGGGGCTCCGGTCCCCACACTGGTGATGGACCAGAAGCCTTCGAGAACCCTTCTGGACATTTTGATGACTCGTGTCCCTCTTTACAGTCACTAGCCAGGGACTTCAGCACAGAGAGGTCTGGGCCCAGACACGGGACCGGGTCCAACTCTACCCTCAGTAGGAATGGGGACCACACAGGGAGTTTGGAAGAGTCGGGTAAATCAGGTGTCCCACTGAAGGAAGGACTACCCAAAGCATGCAGATTCTCGGGCTCTCCCCGCTCCTCTTATCTGGCTTCAAGTCCACGTGTGCCCTCCACAGGCTGTAGATGCTGCCTCTCCAGTAGATTTGGACCCACTCCCATTTGGCCAGAGTAGATAGAGCTGCTGCTTTCACTGCTGCTGCTGCTAAAGGCGTGTGATGCCTCTGTGTGTCTCCAGGACCCCCCAGCCCCACCCAGTCACATAACTGGGTTTCTTCTCTTCTTTCCCCCAAGAGTGGATCGGGCCATCTACTGCTGCCCCCCTTGGGGAGAGCTACCCCTGGCCCCAGATGGCCTCCACTGCAGAAGGTATGGGGGGCAGGGCCTCCACGGGCATTAGACACCCCCCCACCCCAGAAAGCTCCTTAGACCACAGGCCCCTCCCTCTTTAGTGGAGGTACCAGGTGCATGAGGTGGAACTGGGGTGGGAGGGGGCCCCGTGGGAGCGGAGGGGGAGGGGCCTTGGAGCTCTACCTGCCCCCACCCCAACTCTCACCTTTCTAGAGATGCTCCCCCTCAAGGGCTTTGGAGCCAAGTGTAGAGTCTGCCCTGATAACAGGAATCCTGTCCTGCCACTGTCAGCCACAGGACACTGGGAACAGGGATGGAGCTCAGAGTCAGTGCAGGAGCCAGGTGATAGACCCAGACCGAGGGGCTGGCTATGGGTAGATGAAAGAAGATAGCACATTCCAGGTGGCAGGGACAGCTAGGGCAAAGGCTTGGTGGGGGGATGGCAGTGAGCAGGGCAGGGGGTGTCTTAGAAGGCACTGGATACCTAGTGCAGAGCCTCAGTCTCCCATAGCGGTGGGAGGAGACACGCGTGGGTCTGTTGGTAGCCGCAGATGGACGTGCGCAGGAAGCACACAGGGCCTTGCTCGACTCTCTGAGAAGGGAGCCTGTCCCCATCCCAGCTCACCTGTTCCCTGGCCATTAGGTCCTAATGCCTGTGTGGACCACCTCGGCCCCACACCTCCGGCCCCTCTGGGAGCAGCGAGCAGGGCTCTGAGCGCCCTCTGCTGGCAGGCAGTTCTGGAGCGGGAACCGCACTCAGAGGGGCTGCAGTTCCCAGCGACCAGCAGGCTCTGAGTGGGGTACCCTCCCTGGTGATGGAGCTCCTGGAACCATCACTTCCCTGCCCTGGACCGACCAGGGCACCGCAGGCTCCCAGAGGGAAGCCGAACTGACTTTGCTGCCAGGACAGCGTCATGCTCACTCACCAAGATAGGGCCGAGGCCCCAGTGGGGTGGGTTCCACACGGAAGGCAGGCCAGGTCTGTGCTCATGGCTCACAACCCCTGCAAGCAGGGAATCCGTGGATAGTAAAGGACCCACTTTGGCTGGAGCAGAGAGGTTGCTTCAGAAAGGTAGCTGCCAAAAAGCCTTGTGAGCCAGGTCCACACTCTTAATGCTCACGGGAGTTAGGACAGGAGAGGGGAGAGCAAAGTGATATCTGCATTCAGTAAAAAAAAAAAAAAAAGAAGAAGAAGAAGAATCAGCTTCAGCAAAGCATCTTGCACGCTGTCAGGGGATGCTGGAGGTAGAGAAGTAATGTGGGAGAATTAATACATGAGTGTGTACATGGTTTCCGGAGGGACACCAAAGGCAGGGCTGCTTCCACATACTCCTAGATGTGCCGTGTCCCCTCAAATCTGAGGTGACAAGGCTGCCCCAGCGCATGTCCAGGGCATAGTGGAAGCCTTTGTCGGGCCTTCCCTGGGCCCTGACAGCCTACCCTGGGCAGCTGGACCATGGCGACGAAGGAGGCTTATTTCTCATCTCTCCAAGCTGTGGGCACCTCGGCCGCCGCCCCTGCCCCAGCCTCCAAACCTTTCCAGCTCAAGCCCAAATCTGCTCAAGTGGTGCCCATTGAAGAGTTCCAAGGTAAGAGGAAGGTCCCCGGGCCGGACCAGCCCTCCTCCACCACCTCTCCCCTCGCCTCCACTGGAAAACAATGATGCAGGACGAAGGACCCAGGCCTGGCTCAGAAAACCCTCCTGGAGTAGCTGGGTCAAGGTGAAACCAAGCCTCTCTTCCCTCCGTCCTCCCTCCCCAAGGGAGCTGGGAGCAGGTATGAGTCAGAAGCACAGTGGGCAGGCACAGGGCAGGCAGAGCAGCTACCAGAAATAGCCTGTCCTGGCTCCCCTGGGAGGTGTGGCCCAGGGGCTCGTCTCGGTTGAAGCAAGAGCTGGGACACAGGGGTCACTGACACTACTCCTTGAGACACCTGGATGCCTCACCGGCTTATTGTGCCTGGAGGGACAGGTGAGAAGGGGGCAGGTCCAGGAGGCCCAAGGTGTGGCATGCCCGCTGTCGCCTCCCGGGCACGGCTCTGAGGCTCGTCTCTCCAAGGTTTCCCCTGCCCTTGACCACCAAGGGACAGCCGCCTCCTTGGGCAGGGAGCAAAGCCCTGGGTCTTCACGATGCCTTGTCTGGGCAGTCATAGGACTCGCCCAGTCCCCAGAGCAGGGGGAGGGCTGGAGGAGACAGCAGGGTGGCACAGAGATCCCTGTCCTCATTTTGGAGCTGTGCACGGGCAGTAAGAGTCTGAAGCCAGGCCAAGACGACCAGGAGGCAAAACGAGATGCCCCGGGGCACGAACCCTAAGATGGCATTCATTCTCAGGGTTGTGCAAGAGGAGGCCCTCTGGTGCCAATCAGATTTGCAGAACAGCTCAGGCTAATAATAAAAGGTCTGGCAGGTGGGCGTTTTCCTTCCAACCATCTTCCAAAGCAGCATGTGGAGGAAGCTCCTGGCCCATTCCATCCTGCCTGGCTCGCGTGCATGCATCTGTCCCTCACTGAGTCCCGGGGTACGAGGCCATGAACCCAGGCACTGTCCTTCGAGCTCACGCTGGCCGCAGGACCCATCCTCCCTGCATGAATCACCTCCAGCCACCCCGGCATCTGTTGGGAATCCTTCTGGGAGCACCCTATCCTGGCGCCCCGCCAGGCAGGTGCTGGTCCCCTGGCCCTCCCCGGATTCCTGCCCCCAGGGCCAGGTGGGAACTGGTGGGTGGGGCCAACACTGGTCCTCGCTCTGGCCCCAAGCGGGCAGGACACACCTGCCTCCTCCCAAATGGTACCCAAGTGCTGTTGGAGGCCCGTGACACCCTCCTGTGCCAGGTCCTGCCTCCCTGCATGTCGGGGGGGCTGGTCTGTCCTCGCCCTGTGCCTCAGTTTCCCCTAATACACGGTGCAGGGGGTGGCAGGAAGGCACAGTCTCCCTTGGCTCACTGACCCGTGGTGTTTCTCACGCTCGGCCGGCCCAGACTGTGAGTGCTACGGCCACTCCAACCGCTGCAGCTACATCGACTTCCTAAACGTGGTGACCTGTGTCAGCTGCAAGCACAACACGCGAGGCCAGCACTGCCAGCACTGCCGTCTGGGCTACTACCGGAACGGCTCCGCCGAGCTGGACGACGAGAACGTGTGCATCGGTGAGCCCCTGGGCGGCGGCGGGGAAGGGGCGCAGGGGGCGGGGACCGCGGGGGCGGAGCTAGCGGCGAAGGGCGGGGCGGGGCGGGGCGAGGGCGGGGTCCGGAGACCCTTGAGCCTGCCCGGGGGGAGCCCCGGGAGAATTTCATTTGGGGGAGGGGAGGCCCATTTCCGTTAGGCGTCTTCTTAGGACAGAAGCTTCCGGAATCTGCTTTGTTAATAACCTACCCCTGCCGGTCATCCCCACAGGCACTGGAAATTCAGAACCACTAGTTAGAGTCAAAGACCGGTTCTGGAGCTTGCTGTGTGCCTCAGTTTCCCCGCTTGTAAAATGCGGAAGTGGATTAGACCAAAGGTTTTCAACTCCGTTTTTGGGGCCGAAGCTTTTCTTCCAATGAAGTTCTTCTAATGCTTTATAAGCAGAGGCCCAGCTTGTAAGACCCAATGGGTACTCGGTCTGCTCTCTTCAGACTCTGCTGCAGGACTGGCCGGCCTTGGGATAGAGAAGCAATCCCTGGGGGGCCCGGGCAGGGGCAGGACAACCTGAAAGGCCAAACCCATGGCCTCGGCCGACACCCACCAGCCTGGAAGGGCTGCCCACCGCCCCTGCCTCTCTCTCCAGTGGAGGTCACTGCTCAGTCCTAGGTGCCCAGCCCCCTGGGCACCCCACTGCCTATCCTCCACCCACCACCAGGTCAGCTCTGACTTCACAGAGGAAGGGCTGCACGCAAGGCTGGAGCCCCTTGTCAGTCTGGATTATGGCACTGGCCTTCAGAGAATTCCATCAACTCTAAAGTTATCCAAAGAGAATGTGCTGGCCAGGTCACACCGGCCAGCTGCAGGCACAGGGTGGGGCCTCTGGATCCCAGGAGAAGCGTTCCCGCCTCCCAATACCCTCCTTACACGGGCCCAGCTCTGGGCTTCAAGGACTCCCCGAGTGGGGACATGTTTGCCCTCTCCCGCAGAGCAGATACCCCAGGAAACCAACTGGGAAGGGGCTAGGGGGAGGCTGCAAGCCTCTGGGGCTGCTCCTCCATCCGTCCTGAAGAGGAGATGCAGGTGCGGGCTACAGCCCCCCAAATCCCTAATTGGATGCCCTGCCTCTGATGAGGCTCCTCCCACCTGTGAAGAATCTTACAGCCCTTTGGAGCTGGGAAGGATCAGCGCTCCCTCCAGTTACACAGACGGAGACCCAGGCCCAGAGAGGCGTTGGGGCTGCCCCAGCGCCAGGGCCAGGGAGAGGGCATGGGTAATGGAAGCTAGAGAAACAAGTCAGTTCAGTCTTCCCTCAAGATCTGGACACTCGGGCAGCCATGGGCTCACGTGGACATGGTGTGGGGTGCACCACCGGGGGAAGTGCGGGGAGCCGGCTGGAGGGATGCGGCCCTGGGCCAGATGGGGGTCCGTGCACCGAGGACGCCCACGGGTTGTCCTGACCACACGCCATGCACGTGTCCGTCCAGAGTGTAACTGCAACCAGATCGGCTCCGTGCACGACCGGTGCAACGAGACCGGCTTCTGCGAGTGCCGCGAGGGCGCAGCGGGCCCCAAGTGCGACGACTGCCTCCCCACGCACTATTGGCGGCAGGGCTGCTACCGTGAGTGCAAGCTGGGCGGGCGGGGCTTGTGTTGTGGGGGGGGGCGAGGGCGCGTGGTCCAGGATGGAAGGAGGGGCCTGCTCTTTGGGGGCGGAGAGTGGGTTGTGGGTGGGGTCCGGGGCGGCGGGCGGGGCCTGATGCGACAGGAGAATGGGGTGGGTGTCAGGGAGGTCGGGGGTTGGCTGAGATGGGAGGTGGAGGCAAAGGTGGAGCTGGCGGTTGGTGGGACTTGGCTGGCCCGGACGAGTTTGTGGGGCGGGAGGAAGGGAGGCTGTCCGAGAAAATGATGGGCCGGCGCCTGGGGGGGGGGGTGGTATGGAAGGGCCCTCCAGGCACAGAGAACAGCAGGTGCAAAGCTCTGGAGGAGAGGGAGCAGGTGCGTCCCAAGGCCGGCGGGCAGTGGCGGGAAAAAGAGCAGGGCCAGGCCTCGCCAGGGGCGTTTCGCACCAAGTGCGCCCTGAGCCTCCAACACCCGCTGGTCCGGCTCAGTCGCCAAAGCTCCAACGAGGTGGGTGGACGGGCCACCGCCCGCGTTAACTGCCCCTCCGCCCCGCAGCCAACGTGTGCGACGACGACCAGCTGCTCTGCCAGAACGGCGGCACCTGCCTGCAGAACCAGCGCTGCGCCTGCCCGCGCGGCTACACCGGCGTGCGCTGCGAGCAGCCCCGCTGCGACCCCGCGGCCGAGGACGGCGGCCTGGACTGCGACCGCGCGCCCGGGGCCGCCCCGCGCCCCGCCACCCTGCTCGGCTGCCTGCTGCTGCTGGGGCTGGCCGCCCGCCTGGGCTGCTGAGCCCGGCCCGGAGGACCCTGCGCCCGGGGAGCCGGGAGGGTGGTGCCCGGGGGTGCGGAGGCAGGCGTCCGAGGCCGGGGCGGCGAGAAGGGTGCGGCCCGAGCCGCTCCCAGGTGCTACTCCGCAGAGTCCTCCCGCCTCCTCCCCCGCGGCCCGTGGCCCCGCGCCCGCCCCCGCCCCCGCCTCCGCCCCGGCACTGCCCTCCGCCGCCGCAGGGGGGCGCTGTGCGGCCCCGGCCCCAGCAGCCCGCGACTTGGGTCTTAGTTTTTCTTTTGTATCACCCGCCGCCCCCACCCTTTTCTTCGCTGGCGGCGGGAAGGGGGTGGGGGGGGGGGAGAAACGCTGCTCACCCCCCTCCACGCCTCCAGGTCCCGCCTCCCAACACGCGCACACACGCGCACACACACCCACACACACACACTCACTCACTCACACGCGCGCGCGACTGTTGCGGAGACCCCCTGCGCCCGTCCCTGGCTTGCGGTCGGCCGGAGGACCTGCAGGTCCAGTTGCCTACAACTCTTCTTTCTTTGTTTTCCTTTGCAACAACCCGCCAGACTCCGTGAGGCCTGGTGACCAAGGAACTCACCGTCTGGGGGAGGGAGTTAGGAAGGAGGGTTGGGAGGGCTGGAAACTGGTTTGTAGAGGACTATTTTTGTTTGTATTAATCGTCCCGCGTCAGGAGGACATAAACCGCTGCAGGTGGTTGATGGTGTATAATCCGACGGAGTAAAGAGTCTGCTCACTGCTGCCTCCAGGGCCTGTTTTCTGTGTTCCTTTACACCCGGCAGGTTTGGAGCTTAAGGAAGCCCACAAAGTAGTCTTGGAGAATCCCTTCCCCTGTGAAGGCCACCACCTGCGCAGGCCTTCCTGTGCCTTAGACCGGGCAGGGCCCCTCCCCGCAGGTGTGGTTAGCAGAGCCCCTTAACCCCAGCCCTGACCCACATTAGGAGCTTCCTCTCCGTCCTTTCCCTTTAAAAAAAAAAAAAAATCCAAAGTTTATTGGCGCTTTTCCTCCGCTGTCCTTGAATTTAAAAGCACATGGTGGATGTTGGCATCATTGCTGAGAAATCCAAGGGACGGGAACTAACTGGTGGTTTATAAATCAGGATGGATGTGTCTCTGAGACCCGTGGGACGCCCAGCCTCAGGCCTGCTGTCTGCTGCTTCAGCCTCCCTCCAGCACTCCATGCTGGAATCTACATGGAGTCTGCAGCTGGCCACCCTCTCCTTGCCCTTCCCCTCCCAAAGATCACCCACGGGGAGGCCAAGGGGACGCAGGGGCAGCCTGGGAGTTGTGAGAGGACACTCTGAAGAATGGGGTCTGTTAGCTGAGGCCCTGTGCCATGGGAGGGTTCCTCGGGTCTCTCCTGCCCTTGGGTGCTTGTACTTTCCCCCTGCTGACTCTCAAGAAGGTCCAGATTTGTCCCAGAAGCTTCTCAGCACCGTGGGTCAGTGCTGGCTCCTAGCTGCTCCTGCAGCACCCACCTGCAGTCCCCTCCTGGCACCTGCAGCCACTCTACCCAGGCTGAGAAGTTTAGACCTGCCCCCCACCAACCCTGCTCAAATCCCCAAAGCAAGGTGAGCAAATCAGTTCAACAATACTCTGCCTTGGGGACATCCTATCAATCCTGATATGAAACAGGATTCCAGGCCCCTCAAGGCCAGAGGCCAACCCTGCTACCCCTCTTGGCATCCATCCCCCACACCAGGTTGCAGAGCTCAGCTCCCAGCCCCTAAAGGAAGTGCCTTCCCTCAGGCCCCCCTGGCTTCTTCACCTTCTTCCTTACAGCACCCCAGGGAAAACCAGACATTCCAGGGCTCCTGGTGTACAGGGGTGGGCATGTGACACAGTTCAGGCCAATGAAATGTAGCCAGGGGTGATGAGTGGGGCTTCTGGAAAGGTCCTTAGAAGCCCTGCTCCTCTCTACCCCCCAGCAAGGTTTATTTGGCCCAGTTTGGGGACCCGCCCTGCTCTCTTGCCCCTCCCCCTGGTGCTCAGCCAGCAGAAGGGAGGGAGGGGCCCTCTGGCAACCCCGGTGCTGTGAGGGCATCCTTCTCAGGATGGTGGAGCCGAGGAACTCAGCAGAGCCAAGCTCACCAGGCCTGCCTGCCAACCTCTGCACTTCTTCATGTGTGAGAAAAAATAAATCTTGATATGATTAAAACACTGGAATTGGGCTTTTCTGTTTCACGCAGACTTACCAGTTCCTAAGCTATCGGCTCTCCCCACCACCACCACCTACCCCCCCCCCCGCCCGCCACAATCCACTGAGGCCAGAGACACTGACACCCCCTGTCTCTCGGCTGCAGCACCCCCAACACTGCCGCTGACGAGGACAACCCATTACAGCGTTGGGCTACGGCGGCGGCGGCGGCGGCATTCAGGCCTTGCCGGGTCAAGCACCTCTCTCCCGGACAGCAGCCGCCTTCAGCGGAGTGTGGGCAGGCTGAGCAAACGCTGCGCTACGCAAACAGTACCTGCTGGCTGCGATTTGCAAACAGTGGCGCCTTCCTCCTCCTCCTCACAGTGTTAAACTACAAAGGCATCACAGTAACATACCCCCAAACACACACACACACACACACACACACACACACACACACACACGGTGGTTCCCATGTGAGAAGCAGAACTTGAGACAGGGGTTCAGGCGTGCATTTTCTGAGATGGTGAGGGAATTAGGATGTGAGGTGGGGGAAGGCCCAGCACCGATGTTTCTCCTCAGCCAGGTCCACTGAGGGGCTCTGGACCATACACCACATCTGGGCAAGCGGCAGCTTCAAGTCATTGGTCTCATGCTGCTTTGGGGGGGTCTGCAGTATCGGACCCCCCCTGTACAGGAGGTGGGAGGCCGTAAGGCCAACACAGCAAGGTGGAGGGTGCTCCCATAAAGGGGCTCTGGGCTGGGCACCAACACCTCTCCTGCACTTGCACACACGCAAGCACACTCTTCCCTTTGTGTCGCCCTGGGTGTGTGCCTGGAAGAGTCCCGGGGATCTAGGAGGAAGGGGCCTCTGTGGGCAGCACTCAGCCAGACCAGCACTGTGTCAGCCCCCCTGGGACTGCTCCCAGCAGAGGCAGGGAGGTGGAGAGCATCATAAATGAGAGCAGTGGCCCCAGTCCCTGACCTTGGCCGGAGGGTGGAGGAAGAGTTGCCAGCGACCACTTGGAAAACTCTGACATTTTCCAGGCAGCAGGGAGAAGGAGAAAACAAGGTTAGCCGGCCCAGAAGCCATAGCCAGCCTCCTTTAAACAGCGCATCCTGGCCCCGAGATCAGGTTTTGACACCTGCTTCTGAGAGGCCAAGGTATCCAAGGCTTGGATAGCAGCCGGCATCCTTGGGCACAGGGTACAGGAAATGCTCGTCTTCATCCTAGGACAGGTTTCTCAACCTCCGTGCCTTTGACATTAGGGCTGGCTACCCAGGGGCTCGGCAGGAGGCTGTCAGCATCCCGGGCCTTGGCCTCCAGCCACTAGATGCCAGTAGCACCTCCTCCTCTGTGCAAAAACTAAAAGTGCCTCCAGGCACTGGGGGTTGGGGGCAAAAATCGCCACCCCCCAGTTGAGAACCACTGCCCTAGGCAGAAGGGACTGTCATACCCATTTCACAGAAGGGGAAGGGGAGGTCCAGCAAGGGAGGCAAGGGGAGAAGGAACTGGCCTGAAATCACACTTCTAAGCCCGGGGGGAGGAGCTGAGTCCAGAGCCCAGCATTTAACCCAGGGCCACAGCGGGCAGGGGGGCATCTGCCCTGGGTGGGAGGGGTCCCTGACTGCTCCTGCTCCTGCCTGTTTTGCCCTCCATCCCTGGGCCCCACGCAGCCCCTACAGTGGGCTCTAGCGAAGGCAGAGCAAGGAGCCCTGGGGAGCTGGGCTTCATCCGAATAGCTCTGCTGTCAGGGGCAACATTTCCCCACCGCTCCTCTGTGGCAGCCTCACCTCACCCCTGCCCCCACCCGCCCCCTCTAAATAAGCAGGACTGCTGTGTTAGCATTTCCTGCCTCTCCTGCCATACGTCACAGTTATGAGGCACTTACGGGCGCCTGGGGAACAGCCTTCAGCATCGCCAGGCCAGCCTCGGTGGGCAGGGCTCAGAGGGGGCTCACCCCATGCCTGCACCGCTGCCCTGGGCCCTGCACTTGTGGCTGATCCCGTCTCCCCCAGTCCCAGAGGGACCCCCGCACGTCCCCGTACATCTCAGGCCAGAAGAGTTAAGGGCAAAGGCCCAGGGAAGGGAAGCTCTACTTATTTCTCTTTCCTTTCTAAAACACAAATCATACTGTAGGGAAGTTAGAAAATATAAAAAAGCGAAATAATAATAATTCCAAAAATTAAAATCACCCACAATCCTCCATTCGGAGCTAATAACAGTTAATATTTTCTGATATACATTTCTAGTACTTTTCCATAAAGCAAACCCACACAGTTTTGGCCAGCATTTGTCAAGCCCAGTAGTAAGCACTGGGGTCAGGCTCGACATCCTTATTTTGAGAATCCCAGCAATAAAGCTGGGCCGAGGCTGTATCAGTAGAGCCACTTTACAGCTGACAACATCGAGCTTCAGGAAACGTCCTAGTTAGAGAGCTTAGGCACAGCACGAAACCCAACTCTGGGTGACTTAAGCAGACAAGATTATTTGAAGGCACATGTCAGGGGAGCTAGATGTACAAAGCCAGGAGGGCAGTTTCCAGCCCACGGTGGCCAGAGGGACCCTCGCCCCAAGCCTGCCTCCTGCTGGGTCCTCAGCAGGTGCACACAGCCTAGTGTCCAGGATTTCGCCCTCCACCAAGGGAGATGGCCTCTCTTCCCCAACCAGAGGAAGGGCACAAAGAAACAATGACTATCCAGCTACAGAGAGGGTGGGCAAGCCTCCCAGAGTCACACAGCCAGGAAGAAGCAAGGTCTGGGATCCAAATCCAGTCTCTCTGGCACAGAACCAAGCTTTTAACACGGAGCTGCACTCTGCCAACTTTTCTCTCAATTTTGTTTTATTTTTTAAGGCAATAATGGCCTCATCTTATACACACCCTTCTTTGTACCCTGCTTTATACAATTTAGCAATATGTTCTGAATATCAACAGGGGTCTTTTGCAATGAAAAAGAAGTGTAAAAGCACATCCTTTCATTCTTTGCTTCCACCTAGTACATTCTTCCTCACCCAGAACCCATACTCTGGGGGCAAGAAGGCTCCGGCTACTTGTTTTAAGAGCAACTCTCTGCCAGGCCCCATGGGCTCCTTCTACCTGACAGGACCTGGCCAGGTCCCCGGAGTCTCTGTGACTGTGTTCCTGGTGGCACAGAAGACAGCGCCGTCTTGCAAGAGTGGCCCAAGTCCAGAAGACCAGGTGGAAGAAGTACCTGCAGCAGCAGGGCTCCCAATGACTTCTGGCCAGGGGACACTTCCTTGGTTGTCCAAGCAGGTGGCCCTGGGAACCCAGCCAGGAGAGGTGTGTCACTCAGCTCTCCTCCCACCCTCAACATATAGTTGAGTACCTCTGGTGTCAGGCCTCAGGGCCCATGGAGGCAGGTGGACACCCTGGCCCCAGCCCCTGCCCCAGCCCCTGTCCCTGCCCTGACCCCAGCTCTTGCCCCTGCCTCTGCCCCTGCCCCTGCCCCGGGCACAGAGAGCACCCATCCTCATCACTGCCATGTCCAAGGCCAAGGCAGTGGGCACATAGAGGAAGCTCCCGCTCAGGGGCCCCAGTGTCTGGTCCCTAAAACAGTGGAATGTGGGGGGCCAATGGGGCAGGCAAGGGCAGGAAGGGATCTGGAGATAAAGATGGAGACACTCTCGCATCCTGATTTCACCGCAGGACCAAGAAAGTCTGGGATGAGCCTGGAACCTCTTGTATCACAAGGTAAGGCGGTCCTCAGAGGAGAGGCTGCATGCACAGGAATCATTGGGGTGTAACAAGGATAGTGACAGAGATGGAGTTTCACAGTTTTTTTTAAAAGATTTTATTTATTTATTCATCAGGGAAACAGAGAGAGGCAGAGACACAGGCAGAGGGA